TTTTATTATCTTGTTGTTTATATGTTGTATTTGAGGCTGCCAGTTAAGATGCTTGTCAATATAGACCCCTAGGTATTTAATATAAACTTTTTGCTCCACATTATCATTAGTTATTTTTGGTTGGCATCTAGAAGACAAAATTAACATGTAATTTGTCTTTCCAAAGTTAATTGACAGCTTATTTAGGGTGCAGTATTTGTAAAATTGTTTCATTTCATTGTTCATAACAGATTCAAGATGCTGTAAGCAGTTATCAGTAATGAATAAGTTAGTACCATCTGCAAAGCTCCGCACTGAGAGTTTGTTAGTACAGTTTGGCAGATCATTTACATAGAGTAGAAAAAGCAGTGGGCCTAGAGTTGAGCCCTGGGGTATGCCACATATAATATTTTCATATCCAGACTTAACAGATTCAATTTTCACATATTGCGTGCGGTGTTCAACATAACTTTTAAACCATTTACCTGGAATTCCACGAATGCCATATAAAAGAGTTTAGATAGTAGGATGTCAAGATTAACTGTATCATAGGCCTTTGATAAGTCAAGGAACAGTTCACAAGCTATTTGTTTCCTATATAGCTAGCTTCAAGTTATCTGTTATTTCAAGAAGAGCCTGTTCAGTAGAGTATCCTTTTCCAAATCCAAATTGATATTTATAGAAGATTTGGTACTTTTCTATAAAGGAGTATAGTTGGTTATAGTCTAGACGTTCAAGTACTTTACTGAATGGGGAGAGAGTTGTTATTGGGTGATAATTACTTGGGTGTGTAGGATCTCCACATTTATAAATAGAAGTAACTTGTGAAACTTTTAATACATCAGGCACAACCCCTGTTTCAATAGATAGGTTATAGATGTTAAGGGCACTGATAATGGCGCAGCAGCAATTTTAATCATTTTATTAGGACATCCAGGGATGATTTACTATCATTTAAGCTTTTAAAAAGTGAACAGACCTTAGTTTCTGCAACATAGGAAATAACAAAACTATCAATAGGGGTTGCTTTTATATATTGTGTGGGCCTCCCTTCACAATTCTTGATTTCTTTGCCCAGGTTTGGTCCAACATTTACGAAATGTTTATTAAACTGGTCTGCGATTTCAGCTCTATTAGTATAGACCCTATTATTTCGTACGATCTTTGATATGGGCATCTGACCCTTTGATTTACGTTTAATCAATACACCAATTAATTTCCGAGCTTCTTTCATGTTATTTTTAATAAGGTCAAAATGTTGAGAAAAGTAATTTTTTTGCTTATATTTTTAAGCCAGGTTAACTTGTTTGCATACTCTTTATATTTAGTTATCTTAATCGGATTTCCAGAGAGAAAGTGGGGTTTATACGTATTGTGCTTAGTTTTGATTGATTTAAATATAGCATTAGTTATCCAGGGCTTGTTGAATATTTTTTGCTTCTTTCGGGTCATTTGTCTCATTGGTGCGTGTTTATTAGCAATTGATTTAAGTAGATCAGTTGTTTAGCTGTTATAACATGCAAATCATTATTACATTCCCTAAAGATAGCATTCCAGTTAATAATGATTTGCATGAAATAACAGCTAAACCCTGGTGAAAATCCTGTCCAGGATCCTGTAGGATCCTGAAGGATCCTATAGGATCTTGGATAGGAACAGAATCCCAACTAGGATCCTGTATAGGATTCTAATCCTGACCAGGATCCTAGAAGGATAACAAGTCCTGAATAGAATCCAAAGTTGGATCTTAGAGATAAATATGATCTTATGTAGGATCACTGGCCTGATCAGGATCCTGGGCAAGAATAATATCCTGGATATATAGAAGATCCTATGTAGGATCATTATCCTGATCAGGATCCTGGGCAAAAATAGCATCCTGGATTATATATATCCTGTAAATAGGAATCTTGATTAAATATGCTATAATCCCTATAATATCTAACTGGGGTACGTTTCTTAACTGGAATGTCAGTTATACAGATAATTGGAAGATGGTCTGAGATATCGGCAGTAATAATTATCCCAGAAACCATTTTTCTCATGTCCTTTGTATAATTATATTATCAATCAGCGTAGCTGAGTGATACTTCAGGCGAGTTGGCTTTGTTATGACAGGTAATAAATTATTAGAATATAGCATGTCAAGATAAGCCTCTGTAGGTAGATGGCTGTTATTTGACAGATAACTAGGTGACCGTCCTTTGAGAAATTTGTGCATCATAACTGTGTCATTGACCATAAGCCTTTGTTTGACATTTATCCATCGAAGCAATCTTAAACCTGCAGAGATATGGTCATATTTGAGGAGTCCCAAGATAATCCTAGCTGCGAAATTTTGAACAAGTTGAAGCTTATTAATATTAGTCGCAGAAGTATTGCTCCACACTGAGGAGCAGTAAAACAGCCTAGTAAAAACAAAACTATTAATAATTAACAACAGCGTTTCCCTATCGAGGAAATGCTTAATTCTATTGATTTCAAACAGTCTATTCATACAGCTAGCAACAGTTTTACGTACATGTCCATCATAAGAGAAACACTGGTCTAAGAACACTCCAAGATCCTTTGCCACAGGTATAGGTGATATTTGTTTACCACAAAACGTTATTGTAAAATCAGGTAACTGGCGCATCAATTGCGGCACGCCTACCTCTTAAAGTTTAGTTTTATCTGGATTTAAAAGTTGTGAATTGTGGCAACACCACATACAAATTTCATTTAGGTCAGAGTTAACTGCAGAGACTGCATTATAGAGCTCACTAGTTTTAAATTTCAAGTAAAGGTTGATGTCATCAACATATACAGCAGATTGACAACGTTTAGGTATAGATAGTAAATTATGTCAACAGTAAACAGAACAAGATCAAGAATAGATCCCTGTGGAACTCCATAATCAACTGGGAGGGACTGCGAAACCACATCCCCAATACGAACATACTGTTACCTTCCCTTTAAGTAACTTTTAAACCATTCTAGCGCTGATGGAGACACACCAAGGCTGCGAAATTTAAATAACAACATGTCATGGTTTATACTATCAAAAGCCTTCGACAGATCCATCAACACCAATATTGAGATTTTCTTTTCATCCATAGCTTTTAATAGGTCATCAATGACAAATAGAAGAGCCGTTTCGGTGGAGTGATATTTACGGTTACCACTTTGAAATTGTGATCACTTGTTGTTAGTGTCTAAGAATGTGACAAATTGTTTGTTGGGCAACCTTTCATTCACTTTGGATAGTACCAGAAGCAATGATATGGGCCGACTGTTACATGGATTTCCAGCATCTCCGTCTTTAGGAACGCAAGTCACTTCTGCGACTTTCCGCGCACTTGCGAACGAATTAGATTTAAAGGAATTGTTCATCAGGGATGTGATTATTTGCAAAGTGGCTGGTAAACTATCCTTAAGTATTCTTGCTGGAACTTTGTTAAAGCCAGGTGCTTTGTTAGAAGGCAGATTTAGGATAATATTCGCCACATCGTTGTCTGATACAGGTTGAAATTCGAACTGTTCACTTAGCGAAGAAACGTTAAAGGTTTCATAGGCATTTGAGTCCAAAGACCAATTTTGGTCCTTGGCTAACTGAGCAGCTTTAATAGCTTGCATTGAATGCATTGATTTGTTGTGAAATTGCTGCAGAACATCCTCTAAATCAAAGGTTTCTTTATCTTATCTCTTTTTGATAGCATCCAGGATAATACTGGACAAAGGGACAGCTTGCATGTAGTCCACTTTCATCAACATTTGGATTGATAGAATACTTTTCTGCATCCCTTTCTTGTCTTACTCTGTATTAAAACCACTCTGCAGAAATATTTTCATGCTCTGTGGACTTTTCCCTCTGGCTGGTGGGGTCTTAGAAGGCTTAGAAAATACTATTAGCCAGAAGGACAGACTGCCTGTGTATACAAGGTCAACTTAGTTTAAGCACCCTCGAAGATTTGGTATTATAATATTTCTGCAACTTACTTTCAGGTAAGACAATCCCTCAGAATCACTCTACAGGAGTATTTTCCTACTCTCTTTTCTTGAGTCTTTGACCAGTGTGATCTTGAATGACTTAGAAAATATCACCAGCTAGACACCTTGTACCTGAAAACCAACTAGATACCTTGTACCTGAAAACCAACTAGCTTTATTGGAATATTATGGCACAGAGGGAAAGGTTGTATTTAGGATTGAATTTGGGTTAAAAAAGATCTTGAATAAGTGGAACATGTATTTTCTTATGTTGAAGATCAGTATTTACAATATTCCAGGAGACTACAAATTAAATATTTTTGAAACGAACTTGACCTGAAACAAAAAAAAGGTTATATTACAACATGCAAACCAGATGTATTGAAATATGTCGTATTACCTTCAGCATAAGCAATTTTTAAGTTAGTGGCAGAAAACAATGATTTGCAAAGAACGTAGAAACTGCCCTTGTAAACTTTTTTTTAAACTTAAAAACAGTTGGCAATACAAATTTCACATATTGTGAAAACTGACGAAGATTTCACCCAATCAATTGGAGAAAATTAAAATCAAATCTAATTTACCGCAAGTGAGCACCTCCCTTTTAAGCATTTTAGCTCAAGAACAAAAGCCTTTTGGTTGGTATCAACCACAGAGAAAAACAAACCAATGCTTTTTTATTACATGTTGGTAACTTATAGTGATCTTGAAGGTAGAAGAAAATTCTCCATGAGAACATAACCTGTGCTCACATCATAATCAGGCTAAAACTTATATACTATATATAGTGATCTTGAAGACAGAGTACAAAAGAAATTCTCTATGAGAACATAATGCCAGTGCACACATCATAGTCAGGCTAGACCTCTATAGAGCCACCTTTAACTTTAGTATTTTGAAACACTAATGGTATTTAGAACTATATGAAAAATGTGTAGCAGATTTGTGTTGGCATTTCCCAGTTGTCTGTTTTATCACCCTCCCATTAATTTTTGTGTCATGAGTTACAACAAAGGTTATTTAATTTTTTTTCTGTACTTTCCACATTTCAGGTAAGCTTTTTAATATCACTACCATTGGATTCCCTGAATCAAGTCTGTGTTTCTTCCATGCAAAGTATTTACAGATGGAAAAGGAAAACTCTTGAGGTAGCTTTTTCCCACTGGCTTTGTTTCTTTTCACATAAATATTCAGAAGACTATTATTAATGTCAACAGGGTTATTGTGCAATACCTGTGCAGTGAATCTGGACCACATGATGTAAGTTAGACAAATCACATGAAGATGAAACAGTTAGAAAGGCCAGGAAGGAAGAGGACATGGATGGTTCCACGGACATTTCTAAGATAAAATCAGGAATGGAAGGTGTGTGTAATTTATTTTAGTACTGATCCTTATATTTACTCTGTAGTGTCAACAGTGTCAATTTCAGTAATTGCATTAAAGGAAAAGTCTGCTCTACAAACCAGAAGATTTTTTCCCCTTGCCATTTAAAAGAGAATGCAGTAAATTGTGACGCTGACTGACGGGTGTTTTGAGATTTAAAACAGTAACCTAATTTTTTGAGGGTTGTTTGCAAATGTGCTTAGTCAAACATTAAGCTCATTTGTAGACAAATTCTGAATGGTAATGTTACTCTTTGGAATTTCAAACCGTGGTAAGTGGTATAAATATCTTTTTTACATTTATCCTAATTATTAGTGGAGATATAAATCATATCTTGGCTCCTGTTTCACTTACTCCAGTGCTCCAAACTCAATTTTTCAAAACGTCGCCCTTTGGCGACCTTCAATT